TGTCACTCGATAGCCGCAACATCGCACGCATATTTTTCACCACCGATGTTAATGGAGTTTTTCTGATCCTTTACCTTTCGTTATCACGTGCACGCTCTCCCCTCCCCCTCCCGCCTCACTCGCCCATTTTTTCGATTGCGAGCAACAACGCGCGACGCGGGTATCGAGTTTGCACAACACTTTCGGCGAGTTGGCGAGAAAACCCGGCGAAATGAAATCAGCTTCAACGCGCTGAAACTCTCTCTCGTCTCTTTTCTCCCTTGCGCCTGCTATTTTTTTTTCGTCTCTTTATTGGCGAGCGGAGAGGAATTATCGAGTTTTTGTTGCTCTCGCACGCGGAGATGAAACTGCTGAATGAGAATCTTTGGATTTTTATAACAGAAGTTCGAATTCTCAGAGTTTTTTTTTAATTAAAATCGAAGAATTCTTTGAAGAAAGGAAAAAGATACCTTAGGTGTCAGTTTGAGTTTTCAGATCTCTTAGTTAAAATTGAAGAGTTGTTTGAAGAAAATGACTCTAGGTAGAATAGATCTAGGTGTCAGTTTATTCGATTGAACTCACTATCGTTAAATTTTCAAACTTTCTATTTGAAGATTTTTATTTTTTATATAAAAATTTCTGTTGTCCATATTTTTTACTTGAATTTAATTGAAGGATTATTTGAAGAGAGGAAAAAGATATCTAGGTGTCAGTTTGGGTTCACTTTCGGCTGAATTTTCAGATCTCTTAGTTAAAATTGAAGAATTGTTTGAAGAAAGGAATTCTAGGTAGAATAGATCTAGGTGTCAGTTTATGCGACGATTGAGCTCACTATCGTTAAATTTTCAAACTTTTTTTTTGAAGATTTTCATTTTTTATATAAAAATTTGAAGATTTTATTGTTTATACAAAATTTTCTGTTGTTGCTCTGTTTTATTTTTTATATAAAAATTGGAAGATTTTTATTTTTTATATAAAATTTTCTCTTGTCCATATCTTTTACTTGAATTTAATTGAAGAATTATTGGAAGAGACTCTAGAAAGAATAGATTTTTTCCTTAAACTTCTTTAAAGAAAAGGAAGGAGGTATTCTGTAAAGAAAAAAAAAAAAATTCTAAGAAGAATAGATCTAGAGATCAGTTTATGCGACAATTGAGTTCGCTATCATTGAATTCTAAAAGTTTTTATTTAAAATTGAAGAATTTCTTGAAGAAAGGAGCCCTAATTCCTCTCCTAATAAAGGAAATGTCTAATAAATTTAAAGTTAACAACGTTAACGAGCAGAAGAACAATGGAGGGAAAATTGATTGGAGAAGATATAATTACTTGGAGAAGAGTCTGTGCATCATTTGTGAACTCCACTTTTATATATTTGATTAATTAATATCAATCACTTGTCACTCGTGTTTCAGCATTTTTAAATTACGTTTAATTAATTAGCTCGGACTTCGCTGCCGTTGTACAATTTAATTAATTAATTCCAACTTGTCGTTCTCCACATTTTTTAGTATTTTTCACGTTGTATTTGATTAATTAGTTGTCCATATTTCAACGTATTCGCGTATGCGTGTTGATGTTTAAAAATCGCGTAACTTTATTCCGAATATTTTGATTTGAGGGATTCCGCATTGAATATCGTCGACGTTGCAGCAGTCTCGATATCCCGAAATTTAAAAAAATTTAGTTAATCGCAATCAATGCGAAATTTACGAAACTCGACGAAATAATTCTCTGTTTTGTGTTTCGGCAATCGTAAATATTATCGCGAAATAATCGCGCGAAAAATACGTGAAATTGAAGTCGGTTATTCAATGCAATTTGTAAATTATCTCCCGTATGAGAAAATATAATAAAACGTGATAAAAGGAGAATTTAGGTTCACGATTTTTCCAATTACTATCGCCAAAACACTGCCTTCGATATTTATTAAAATAAAATCGTATTTATATATTTTCATCGCTTTTTATAACTATCTACGTGCTTGGACTATATTTATCATCAGGTAGTTCGAGATTTTTATTAATTCCGGAAATAAAATTACTTATATTCTATTACTCCGCTATACCATATCGTTTACTATTAGTCTGCTTAATTGCTTTTAAATATTTAAAAGTATTTAACATTATCGAAGTGGTCAAAATTTCTAATTTTTGTTAGACATGAAACAGCGAATCTCTAAAGACTTAGAACAAAAGAAAATTTCGTAAAATGTCACAAATAGAAGCTGTACTCTATATTGTATTACAAAGTTCTTTCCTATCCTTTTACTTTAATTTCATACATTAAATTTAAACGAATTCTACCATCACCCTCAACATATAAAATACAATCACAATATTTATTTGAATTACAAAAAAGAAAAAAATGAAATTAATGATTTCACTTTAAATAATTTCAAACACTATCCGTATCGAGAAATAATAACACAAATTCACAGTGAAGTTTCGATTAAGTGAACTCGAATCACCAAAAATTTATTCATTCGCGAGGACTTCACAAACGGTGTCTCAGTTGAACCGAGATTTCACTGTATACTCGTTGACGCTGATCGAAAAAAACAATTGGAATTTCACGTTCGATTACGAATCGATGAACTTGCGAGAACTTCCTTCGTTCACAAACGATGCTCCATTCCAAAGAACGAGCTAAACTACTACTCGCGCTCTCGATGGCAATTTAATTCTCACGAAATCGAGGGGACAACTTCTCCATTCGCTCCGTTAGCGTTTCCCTGAGAAAGTTCGAAGGTGTCGTAGCTCTTTATAATTTCAATTGGCCCTGTTTCCCGGTTCCGTTGCACCGAAATCGGGCGCAACAGCCCGGGGAGTTCGCTCTCCCTCCTCGTTCTCGCGGCCGGATGAATTATTTCGTCAGAATGCCGCGGGAAATAAAGCCGGCGTCCCATCGGCCGGGATCTTGCTCGCCTCTCAGGGGATTTCGTGGCACCGCCGCCATCCGAGAAAGGATCCTTTCTTCGGAATATTTGAAACAAACGTAAGAGCCCGAGTTGTCTTCCTCTCTTTATTTTTCTCCGGCGTTATTTAACAACGACAGCCAATTTAAATTTAAAGCAACTGAAGACTTGTCGCTAGAGACAATCATGAGAGAGAGAACACGAGGTGAATCTGCTGGTTTTCTGCGAATTAATTAATCAGCAAAGGGTCTCTTTTCTCGTCGTTCTTTCGATACGAATCTGCTTACGTTGGATGAAAGCTAGATCCTTCGACCTTTCAGTCGAACATTTTTCTATCGTTTTGTGGCGAACGAGTATCGTGGATAACCGACGCAGAAAATGAAGGATTGAATCTACTTGAAGCTTCCTTGAAACGATTGCTGTGCAATAAGGAAGCTTCTACTCGATTCAGGCGGCTAGGTCTGTCTTAATTATTTAAGTGCGAACGATCGAGTTCGAGGAAAAGAAGATCGAGCTGACTCTGCGTCAATTCGCAAACTTCATGTAACGTTCTTTTCCTCTTTTGGCTTCTAGAATAAGCTCTCGCAAACCCGGGTCTGTCACAAATTATTATCAATTAATTATTACACCGTTGAGAAAAACGTCCAAAGTATTGACAATCCCCTCGTTACTCTTGTTGCTAGCCTCCGTATGCCGGTATCGCGCGAAATGAGAAGGGTATTAGGGTCAGAGACGTTAAAAGTGGCCGTGACAGAACTCAAGACCCGCCGAGGGAAAGAGGCTTTCCCTTCCGGCGGCGTGAAATACACGAGTCTCCGATAAGTCGAGGTTTATTTAAAGGCCGACGGTGGAAAAATAATGGCCGTCGAGAGAGAGTGTGTGTGTGTGTGTGTGTGTGTATGTGTCTCGCGAGTCTCAAAACGATTTGATAGGAGACTGAAGAAACTCTGTCGAACGAGCTGATAGATACCGACGTGGCGGCGTCGCCGGCCGGGCTTATCGTTGACCTACTCCACTTAATTATCTAGCGTGCATCATAGGCGGCGACGCGGGCGGAAAAGTCCCATCGATCGTTCCATCGATCGATCCAACGATGTGTTTACGTGGGCCTCCGCGTCGTTCGTTGCCGACGATGCAATTTACGGCGACCGCAAAAATTACGATACTCCCAATACGCCGCGGCGGGGGAGCGAATCCATCGTCAGAACGAGCTTTGCCGCGAGCTTGTCTCTTTGCCGATCAATCTTTCGAACGCGATCGACGACGTCAAAGAGCGTAGCATCCGACGCGTCGCGTATTTTCTGACTCTTTTAGAGATTACTTCTAGAAGACGCTTAGTTTGTGCTGGAGAGGGCTTGAAATTTTCGAATTTAGAACCGCTTGAAATTCTAAACGGTGCTTCAAGGTGCACCCCGTCAGAATTCGAACGAAATTTAATCTGGAGCAGAAGGCGGATCGAATTTTGATGTAAAAATTCTCAGCTCGGGAATTTCTCTCTTGGAAAAATGAATCTAGAACAACGAACAATCTTCGCGATGTAATGAAAAAAATATTCGAATTTTTTTCACAATATATAATAATATAAATATACTATATATATAGTATACTTATATTATTATATTATACATTATATAATAATATATAATATATATTGTATAATAATATAAGTATACTACATATTAATATATTGCACGAAGTATGTTTTATATTTATTGTATTTATTTATATATTGTATACAATGTTTATATACAATATATTGATACATTGCGCGAAGTATATTTTATATTTATTGTCTTTATTTATATATTGTATGTATTGTGTTTATTGTAAATACAACAATTCACGAGAAATTAAATTTTCCTTTGCGCTTGAAATACTTGCTGGTAAAATAATGAATCTTCGTAAAGTGATAAGAAAATTATTATTAAAATTATTCCCGTTCTAACAAAAAGATCGAATCTTCTCTAACACTTGCTTGTAAACGTGAATCTAGACTGAGAAGTCTTCACGACGTAATAAAAAAAATTACTAATTATTCCCACCTTGACGAAACATCATCTCTCGTATTTGAAATATTTATTAAAAAAAAAAAAATTAATTTGGGCGGTCAAAAAGTCCCAGGTGAATCCCACCTTGACAAGAAAATCAAATCATCTCTGAGACCTAAAATACCTTAAAACAACCTTTAGAAAACCTTAAAAATACTTGATTTAATATACTTGCAACTTATCGCTGGGAAAAATTAATCTGGAACAACCAATCTTCGAGAGAAAATTTCAAGAAAAAAAAAAGAAAATTGAAATCATCTCCGTAGAAAAGAAAAAATGCAAACAAAGCACGTGCTGTCTACGATCTTCTTTTACACGAAGCTCCGTTCGCTTCCGCGTGGTTTCTTCGAGGGTGAGCCAAGAGCAGCGTCGAGAAAGAAAAAGAGATCGATACGAGAACATGATGCGTAGGTTTACGCGTGTTTCCTTCTGTACGACTGGAGAATCGTGAAAATGTCACCGGCGGAAAAGGGAAACGCTCGAAGCTTTCACTTTTCATTTTTCCGGGTGGCGCAATAATTCAAGCCAGTTCCTCGGCCCTTTCACCTTTCGCCATTTCACTACCGCGTAAATTAAGCGGCTTTTAACACTCGGCTGCTTAGGTAAATCGTTGCTCAACATTCTTTCAACATCGTTTTCGTGTTCAAGTGAGTCCCAAAGACCGAGTGTCTCGGCGCAAGCCGCGCGTTAATTAAGGGATGTTTTCGTTTCCTTGGTGTTTGTGAAATTGACTCGCGACAAAGTCAATAGAAACGCGGATGAGTTTCCTTGTTTCTCTGTCCGGACGATTACCATCTCTGACGACGACGATGAAACTAATTTAATTCACGATGGCGGGCGCGAGCATGAGAGAAATAAATTAGCAGGCAGCGTAAACAACCGTTTCAAGCGGCTTCAACGAATGTTAAATGTAATCTCAGCAAATGTTGGGGCTTAATAACGTAATGGATGGATAGTTTGTATTATTAATTATTACATTAACTCCAAATTTGATCGAAATTTGATGGAATCGTAACAACTGTTGATAAAATCTCGAAACGTTCAACACAAAGCACGCGAGTCTTATTGATACTAGTGTCTCTGGAATTTCGTAAAGTTAATAGATATTTGATATGAAATGAGCGTTTTGATAACGTGACTAGTTGTTTCCGGAAAGTTGTAAAATACTAACATCTATAAATTAATAAGGTTAATATTAATTAAGGGACGTTTTCGAATGTATTACTTATACAATATATGCATACATGTAAAAATAGGAATATACGAATGCAAATATTTATTTATTGTACACTATTAGCGTACGTATTTTTACATATACATATGTTTATATTGTACGAGTAATCTATTTGAAAACGTCCCTTAATTAATATTTTATTAATATATAGATGTTATTAATAATTTTATTAATTAATTTTATAATTTTATAAAATTATAATTATATATTTATAATTTTACAGTTCTATAAAATTATAATTATATATTTATAATTTTGTAGTTTTATAAAATTATAATTATATATTTATAGTTTTATAAAATTATAATTATATATTTATAATTTTATAATTTTATTAATTTATAGATTTTAATATTTTACAATTTTCTGGAAATAACTAGTCAGGCTTTTTTGTACAATTAGTGTACAATAAATAAATATTAGTGTGTATGTATATATATATAAATATACTCCAATATTTTCATCTACACCCTTACCAGCAATCACAAAATATTAACATTGACATTTCATCCCTTAATTAATATTTTCTGTCATATTTTCAGCGAAAAAGTCCCAATACGACAATGACAAAAGATATCACAACTCGCTACTCGTTGTAATACTCTCTAGATCTGTACGCTCTCACTATCCTTTCGATTCCATTCCTTCACAGTGCATCCTCGAAACCTTCGTCCCTCTCACCCTCGTGTTTCAAAACTCCTAAAACTCGGACCTGGATCAGACAAACAGTCGCGAGTCTGGATTTTTTCACGAGCGAAAATTGTCTCGCTCTCAGGCCACAGAGGAAGAAGCCCCGAGCAATTTCCAAGGTTTCCACCTAATAACTTATAATTAGAGACTCGTAGGATCCTTCGTCGTAGACGAAACTAGTCGAGTTGGAAATTGTCCGCGCGTTTCTCTTTCGTAATTCCCGCTCAGGTGGGGCATATGTGCGTCGCGAGAAAGAATTATAAAACGAACGGCGGTGAAAGGCTGCGTCAAAGGCGCGAAAAGGTCGCCGCTTAAAATACAGAATCAATCGGCGCCAGGCAGAAAAATGTCACCGAGCATATCGAATCCTTTCGCGCTCCATCCCTCCCTCCCTCCCTTCCTTCCTTTAAACTTTCGCCTTTGGAAAAAGGCATCGCGCGAGAACAACGCGTATTCGAAACTTTCCACTCAATCTCGGGGAGAAACCGGGAACCGCTCTGGGACTCGCCAGACTTTTCTTTCCAACGTGAAACGAGACGAGGGTACGTGCTCTCAACAGGAGACACCTCGACAGACGCTTCATCTCGCTGCGGAGTTTCGCCGGCCTGCGACATTTTGTCTCGGATCGAATTATTTGTGGAAGCGGCAGAAGTCAGTTTTTCAACGAATCGTTGCTCGATCTATTTTTCTTTGATGATCGTTACTTGTTGCTTCCCTTCTTGTTGAAAGTTTCTTGAGAGCGAGAGCGAGGAAGGTTTATTTTGGTGAATGTGCTGAGTCTTTCGTAACGTCGCGTTAATTTTACGTTAATTCGGTGGTTTTCCATTTGTTTTTCATTTATTTTCATTTGCAGAATGAAACTGATCTGTAACGTGGCAAAGTGAATGTGATATTGGAACACAGAATTGTAATTGATTTTACACTTCACACTGTTGCAGATTAATTTGTCTGTGCTTTTCGAGACAAGTATAGTATAGTTCAAGCGATTGAAGTTAGATCTCACGTTGCATCGTGTAATTTTTCAGTGTGCCTGTTCTTTTTTGAGACTGAAACTACTTAAGACAAATAATAGTAGCTGAAACACACGATTGCAATTAATTTTAAACTCTTTGGTACGTAACGTTATACAGATCAATCTGTCTCTACATTTTAAGAATCAACTAATTTTTAAATATATATTTAATTATCTTCGAATTCTAATTATATAATTATATAATTTTTCTAATTATGTAATTATATAATTATATAATTTTTCTAATTATGTAATTATATAATTATATAATTTTTCAATGGTTTTTCGTCTGTTCTATTTAAGACACAAACTACTGATTAACTCGTCTGTTCTATTTAAGACACAAACCACTGATTAACTCGTCTGTTCTGTTTAAGACTGAAACTACTGATTCATAACGTTTCAAACAAACGGAGCGGTAAATTTCGAAACCTTCGACGAAAAACCATTTCTGTATCCATTCTTTACCGAGTTGTATCTTCCACCGATTGTATCTTCTCTACGACTACGTAATTTTATTGTTTCAGTTGACGAAACGTGAACGAGAAATTAATTTGCTGACAGACTCCACCTCGTCCGCTTCGCAACACAATCCTGAACTTCGGCTCGACCCGAACGAAATGAAAGTTTCATGCGATCCCTGGCGATTACTAAAGAATCATCGAATCAATCTCGCGGGGGAACAGCAGACAGCACTTAACTCTTGTCGCTGCGTATGAATCTTTCACGAGTCTGTGATCGTACGACTCACCGCTGCCTCGACAAACCATTTATTCACCGTGAACTATCCTCGATTCTCGAAAATCGGACTGACGCGTAAAACGATTTAGAAGAGAGTTGCCTAATTGCCGGAGAATGGAAAACATCTCTCTTCAAAAGAGATTCACCGGAGGATTTTATAAATCTTTCAAATCAATCAATCAATTCAACATCAATCAAAAACGAAGTACACCTCGTCGATGTGTATATAGAAATTTTTAACTGATTGTTTCGTTCGTGTGAAACAAAATTTCCAACGTTTTCACGATTATTATATATCATTATCATTACTGTGGATGTTTGAGCAATGTTTTGTAGTTTTAAGAACATAATCAAGGAAATCTAGATATTTTCTCCGATACTTCTTCTCTCGATAAACAGTCGACATTATTTTGCATATAGTCTGTACATTTTTGTAACGTTACACACGCCATCGAAGATTTCCTCGAACCATAAGGTATACTCTCTTAGGAAGTTTCTTCTGTTCTTACAATGCATTAATTAATAAATTATTACAATAGAATAATAAATTATTCTTACGTTAATTAATATTCTACCTCGCGCTACCTATTCGTGGATTGAAATTCCCAAGCGCAGGAAATTCCTCAAAAATTCCCCATTTCCACGATCCAAATACTTTCATCTCTCTGCGGGGGAGGAGAGGGTTCATAAATCGTCAACAATAAAGCAAAAACTCGGGGACACGAGGCATAATTTAAAAAGGACTTTCCGAAAGAGCGAAATTTCGCCAGGAGAAAATTACCTACGGAGTGAGGTAAAGTTCCCTCTAAGGGGAGGAAATATCGTCCGAGGGTGAAAGTGTAAGTATATATATATATATATATATATATACACATATATATAAAGAGGAGAACATACCGAGATCCATAAGGTGTTCCTCGCCGAATCGTCGCAGAGCGTGAACGTGAAGAAGCCCGAAAGCGAGCTGCATTCCAGTGGTGAGCAACAGGGCGAGGAACCCGGCTGCGCAAACTAGCCACCCCCAGCCACCCTCTGGGTAGAAGTGCGTTCGCATACCTACGCTGTCTATACCTGAAACGAGAGACAAGCTTCCCTTACGATCCCACCTTTTTCACAGTCTCGGCGAATTTTTCTTTTTTTTTTCTTCCTGTTTTTTTTTTGTTTCTCTAATGACGCACACGATGGTGAATTAATTTTCCATCGGTGTCGCTGATTTTTTTTTTTTTTTGTTACTTTACGTCACTCCGCATTCTGAACATTGTATATTACGTTATAAATATAAATATCGTGCATTAGCATTAGCTGTTGCACGTATTTATTTTCAGATCAGTAGTAGTTCGTTTTATTTACCAAGAATTGTCGTGAGAGTTTTGTATATTTTGTATATTGTACGTTGTGTATTTTGTATATTCTATGTATTTATGTATATTATGTATATTGTATTTGTTTTATATATGTATAGTATTTTGCATTTTGCATTCAGTGTATTTTCATTTGTTAAAATGTGTTTATATTATTTAGTAAGTAGAATAAGTCATAGGTTTAATATTTGATAAATGGACTAACATAACATAATAGTGTAATGATATAATTTATAATATACAGATTTATTCTCCATAGAATTATATTGATAAATATATGAAACTACATAGAATTATATTGATAAATATATAAAACTACGTAAAATTATATTGATAAGTATATGAAACTACATAGAATTATATTGATAAATATATAAAACTACCTAGAATTATATTGATAAATATATGAAACTACATAGAATTATATTGATAAATATATAAAACTACATAAAATTATATTTATAAATATATGAAACTACATAGAATTATATTGATAAATATATGGAACATCCGCAGTTGAATAATAATAATTAAAAGGTGGTAATAAGTAATTTTTTTTAAAATTATTGTTACCAAATGGCAAACGACATTACTTATGGTTACCACCTAATATTTTCACTCCAATTGTCCATTGTAATGTTGAAAATACTTAATTACCTGGACGACGAAAGGCTGGAACGCAACGATGTAGACTTCTCAAATCGCCAAGCACCCAATTATTATTCCCCATTATGCCATCGTGGATACTTCCTTCTGCGTCCATATAACGCATCCGAGTATCTGCAACAGAGAGAAAAGTACGTGTGTCAGAAAGTAGATATGTACATAAACTCAATTTAGAGATAAAGTACAGGTGTATAAATTTTACTCGTCGTATATAACGTCTACGATTCATTGATTCGTCGACTATATAAATCACGACAATTGTAACAATTTCCATTGTCCATACAAATCACATAAATCGGTTGTGTTCGTACAAATCGTATCGATCGATTATATCCAAACGTTAATCACACAAATTCTATTCATCGATCATTCATTATTTTTCATCGATTCATTATTACATTGATCATAATTTTATATTCATCGATTGCAATTTCAATCAAATAGTACGTAAACTGACTGAAAAAATTTCCTCTGACAATTGCTCGAACGTTAGTGTGACTGTGCAAGCGCAACTTTCGCAATCGATGCTCTTTCATCTGGTCGCTTGGATGCAAATTAAGAAGGCTACGCGCGGGATTAACCCCCGGCGGATTAGCCGCCACTGTTTTTGCGTAATTCGACGATATATTTGCAGGACTTAATTACACACCGAGAACTGGATCGCAGATGCGTCCAATGAATTTACGTGGCACAGCCTGTTTCGTGCCCGGCACTAAGCCGCACGATAAAGATAAACGCTGTTTATTGTGAGTTCAGCATCATTAAAGACGAACCATCGGCGAACCGAAGTTGAAACGACGGCAGCGTGCACGCTGATTAAAACTCCGTTTCATCGATTTAATACGATTTCATACGATAAATCTTCGTGCGTACAGCTTTCCTAGGAACTGAAGATCGGTTCGTCTTGGGTGATTTCGAAGTGCTGAGATTTCCTAATTTCAGAAATTTTTCGAATGTTGGGTAAAGTTTGGAATGTTTGCAAGTCTGATGTTTCGGAATTTAGGAACTGAGCAATTTAAAAATTTAGGAATTTAGGAATCTAGGAATTTGGAAATTTGGAAATTTGGAAATTTGGAAATTTGAAAATTTGGAAACTTGGAAGTTTGGAAATTTGGAAGTTTGGAAATTTGGAAGTTTGGAAACTTGGAAGTTTGGAAACTTGAAAGTTTGCAAATTTGGAAGTTTGGAAACTTGGAAGTTTGGAAACTTGGAAGTTTGGAAACTTGGAAGTTTGGAAACTTGGAAGTTTGCAAATTTGGAAATTTGAAAATTTAGAAACTTAGAAATTTTCAGATTTTGAGATTTCGGAAATTTGGAATTTGAGAATCTCAAGACTTTAAAATCCCAAAATTTTACAGTTTAATTTTACAGAATAAACAAAGAAGTTGAATAATTTAGAATAACTTCGAGAAAATTGGAATAATCATTAGCGAGCTCAGGATTGCTTGTGTCCGGCTTCGTGATATCAAAATTATCTTTGCCCAATTGCACGACCCTATAATTGTCATTACCGAATTCTGTGATCCTGGAATTATCGTTATCTAGTCCTACGTCCGCGAAATTATCACTGGAGAATCCTATAAGCATGAATTGTTGCTACAGAAACCTGCGTCTTTGGAGTCTGCCAGATACTGCAGTGTCCACGATCACTTCGATATTAACGACGTGAGATATCCAGTGGGTAATTTGAAGTTCCTACTACTACTAAATATTATTAGAATCATTTTCGATGAGTTCTATAAGTTCTTAAAATTATTTTCTATAAGTTCTGATTAAAATCGTATTTAAAAAAAAAAGGTCTCCCTGCATTTCCTAACATAAAAATTCAAATTTTGATATTAATTTGGCAATAATCACAAATTACAATTAATAATTGTTGACATTAATTTCGCGTAATTCAAAAATATGGCTACTTCGTCATTTCTTTCTGTTAAATCATTAATTTAAAAAATCTTTGCTATTCTGTTTAAGTCATAATCATCACGTATTCTGCAAATGTCAAAGAAATTGAACGTCATAAAATTGTAAAGAATGCCAAATTCTGTATGAATTCAATGACACGAAGATTCTATATTAATATAGAATTCAGTATCTATATCTTATTCACACAATTTCACAGTTTTTGAGCAAATTTATATTTATTATACGTGAGATAAGATCTACAACTTATTCACACAATTTCACAGTTTTTGAGCAAATTTATATTTATTATATGCGAGATATAATTATATGTATAAAATTCATAAGTTTACGTACTTTGTATACTCTTTACGTGCAACTTCGAGCTTCAACATCTACAATCATCACTGCGCGCGACGAACTTTAAAAACTCTCAGCTTTTTACCTCCATGAAACGAACACTCATCGCTCGTTTAATGTTTCACGTCGGGATTTCCCTCTCCCAGTGAGTGAAATATTTAATTCTCGAGCAATCGAAAGTTTGTTTCTTATTCCGCTGTGTTGCAAGATTAATCTCGAGCGAGAAGAAAGGGAAAGAGTATTCGACCGACGTTCCTTTCCGTGCGATGGCAACATCGCAACCGCGTGGGAGACGAAACGAGATATGCTGAGAGAAATGAAGAGGAAAAATAAGAGTCAACGGAGTTAGATAAAAGTGCTCGTGAAAGGGAGATGCCAGTTGGGGTGAGAACGAGGACCAGGCTGAGATCCAGGTTTCTCTGAAGTTCAGGAAAAAAAGAAAAAAAGGTGTCGATGTTTCTTTTCATCGTGAAAAATCATAGAAAATTTATTACCGTTTCTGCATACTTTTTTATCTAGCAATGACCGAATTAACATCGTGGAAATTTTATGACAGATATGTACTTATATTGGATTGAATACATCGTTTCAAAGAATGAGAATTTATAAAAATTATCCAAAAAGCAAGTGCAATTTTTTAATTGGTAAAATAAGTACTTTTAATTGGTAAAATAAGTACTACTCTTTGATTAAGCAGACTTTGTACGAAGATATATATATATATATATATATATATATATATATAATGTTTCGTGTGCTTTTTCAATTATACACGTGTGAATGAATTTATTATTGAAATTAGATGTAAGAGCAGGAATTGGAATTTCAAAGGAGAAACTGAAATTTGATATTCTCAACCAGCAGAGAATTTTTTATTTCTTTCTTTCAGGAATCATGCAAACTTACCTTACATTTATATTTATGACATAAAAATTGACGAGATCGCAAAAAAGTGTTGTTTTTCTTAACAGAAAGAAATTTAAGGATCACTCATTTTTTTAATATCGCGTAAAAAATTCCTACGAGAAAGCAACTGTTCGTATAAAGAACATAATTAACGTTAAATTCTGACAAACAAACGTACAATCAGAGAGAAGAAAGAAGAATTCAATCGATCGTTTCACCGAATCAACTTTTTATTCCGACCTAACCCAAGAATAACGCCGTTCTAAACCGCGGTACGAACAATTACTCGTCGACAGATTTTTACTCGAGTGTTTTATACGAGAGTTTCGATCGGCATCGCTCGGGAACAACAGGCGAGGGAACAACAAAGCTGTTACTTCAGACCGTGGAGTGAGAGCCGCGCAATTTGAATTTCTACGTATTTTTCAGCCGCGGGACGAATTTTTCTTTTTGTTTTTTTTTTTTTTTTTTTTTTTTTAGGATCGATTCGAGCTCGCGCGACCGTCACCTATAAAGAAAAAAAAAAGGAAGAGGAAATCAAAAAAGAAAAAAAAATTTGCACGAACGAAAAAACGCAGAAGGAGAGTAGAAAGAAAAAGAGGGGGGAATATTAGCGTTGAAATTAGAACTAAAGCAAGAGAGTGAATGAAATAAAATTATTAATGAAAGAAAATAGGAAGGAAATCGGAAAGAAGAATTTGCATGAACGAAAAGACTCAAAAGTAGAGAAAAAAAGAAGGGTTAATATTAATGTAGCAATTGAAACCCAGCGATTGGAAGCAAGGGTTTAAAATAAAGCTATTAATGATAAATTATCAACGAAAAAAAAAGGAAAAAATCAGAAAAGAAAAATTTGCACGTACGAAAAAAATGCAAAATTAAAGAAGAAGAAAAGTAAGGAATATTAATATGGAAATTGGAACTGAAGCAAGAGCGAATGAGATAAAATTATTAATGAAAGGAAAAAGAAAGGAAATCGGAAAGAAAAATTTGCACGAACGAAAAGACTCAAAAGTAGAGAAAAAAAGAGGGATAATATTGAAACCTAGCAATTGAAAGCGAGAGTTTAAAATAAAACTGTTAATGATAAATTAATATTTTTATTGACGAAAATGTGATAAATAATTTTTATTAACGAAAAAAAAAGAAGGAAATCGGAAAAGAAAAATTTGCATGCACGAAAAGAGTGCAAAAGCAAAGAAGAAAAAAAAGAGTGAATGAAATAAAATTATTAATGGAGAAAAAAGGGAGGAAATCGGAAAGAAAAATTTGCACGAACGAGAAGACTCAAAAGTAGAGAAAAAGAAAAATGGAGGAAATATTAACGTGGCAATTGGAACCAAAAGCAAGAATTTGAAATGAAGCTATTAGTGAAAATGCAACAGTTTGAGTTATTAATGGCAAGTTATGAAAATAATGAAAATAGATTCACGAAATAAAAGAAAAAAAAAAAAAAAAAAAAAAAAAAAAGAAAAGAAGGAATCAACGTGACGCGTGTTTTTAATTGCGCCAGGACCCTTCTCGCGCCTCCGTCGTTGAACGTCGTCCCTTTCCACTCTTGTTCCTCTCTTCTTTCTCTCCGCTCTTAATTACAACGGGTACAACGGGTAGGCGAAGTTTCCGCAAACAGCAAAAGTTCCCCCGTAAAATTCGTCCTTACCGAGCTAATGAAGTTTTAAGCAATTTGGAGTAGAATCTCGGTGACGCGCTCGCTGTTTGCATTTTTATTACGCCGCTCTGGAGAGTGATCTTTCGCTTCCAGGGGCCATCGAACGTTTTTCTTCCCTCGTCTCGTATAAAAAAAAAAAAAAAAGAAAAAAAAAACGACGTCGTGTCGTTTAAAAACAAATATCTGGCGATGAGTTACTTTAAGTGACTCGAGCTACCAATAGTTTGTCTTCAATGGAATTCGATTTTTTTGAACTGAATATTTCAGTTGACCAATTGAA